TATGATGTGTTTCAGCCTCTGTAACAGAGTTGATCATCAGACTTGTGGTCATCCTGCTGGGGCTAATGTTACTCATCATCGTCCTCTGCTGCCACTCTGAGGTACTGCATGGATTGATGGATTAAGTTTGAGGAGACTGGTTATTTTAGAAATAACAAGACATGTTTGTTGTCTTTCCAGGCGTGCAGAAGAAGGTGGAGATGAAGGATTGTGTTCTTGGTGGTTCCAGTACTGACGGAGGAGGAGAGAGCCCACGGTGCTTGTTTCACATTCAGATGGAAAACTAGTAGAAATAGTGAAAAGATTTTCAGGCAGCTTTTCCCTCAAAACTCAATGTGTGAGGGCCCTGATCCTATTTACACGCATCCATGTAAAGATCTGAGCATTACTGAGCTTCAGACTGTTGGGTGTCGTTACAGGTGAAACTGACCAGGGTATGAGCAGAGGTCAGGGTTAGCCTTTACTGTCCTCTCCAGTCACTGTCATACTGTGTATAATATTGTGGTTAATTGATTGGTTGATGACTTTTTATGTGTTAACTTTACATATTTATTTTACTTTAAATACTGTAAGTCAGTGGTGGAAAGCAGTGCCTGAACAGGACCTCAAAAAAGCGAGTTTTGAAGTATTTTAACAAGGACATTGTCTGTTAACGCTCAGTGTTGTTAGATAAAGTTAGATATGGTTATGTGCCTCCTTGGTCGAATCACCAGGAGGTGGCGATAATAAGTAAACAGGGTTTGAGTTATAATCTGAACTCTGTGTGGTCTCTAAGATAGCTAACTGTATTGAACAGCACCCTCTGCTGGTGGCAGAGCCAGATGCAGATACACTAATGTAAAATAATGATAATAATAATAACTGTTTCTGGTTTGCAGACATTGCTGAGCTGCTGTAAAAGTGTCTGTGTTTGCTTTCTGCACTGTTAACCCTCCTGTGTAATGTGGAGTTATTACATAATGACCTTTTACAGCCTTCAAGGTTTGTACATGAGGATTGTGAACATATTTTAGAGAAAATAAAAAGAAAACGGATGTGCAGCAGAGATGTGTTTGTATTTCTTTCATTTTTCCACTGTAAAATTGTGATTAGAGATTTCATATCTGTACTTAATGAAACACTACTTTAAGTCTACTGAAGGTAATAACAGCTTAATCAGGGGTCAGCATCCTTTGCCATCAGAAGAGACATATTGGCCCAAAAAAAGAAAAAGACAAATCTATCTGGAGCTGCAAAACATATTTGTTTTAATCACAATATCATTGAAATTGCCAATATTTTTTGATAAAGATAAAGCAGCAGTATAATGAAAGTCCTGCGAAAAGGTACAGACCTCCCACAATTTCACATCATCATGACTTTGATAGTTTTAATAATGAAACTTAGATCAGGAATCATATTATATTATCTGTCAAAATAATCTCAATATGATGTTTTCACCGTGCAGCAGAGACCTCGGGAAGCTATAAAATAATTTTAAAAAACCCACCTGGGCCCATATTTTGGTGCATTATCAATGTTATTAGTGGTTTTGGTTATGATATGTGATGTTTACAGTCTGTATTGGGATCCTGCTGCACATACTGTGATGTTAATAAAATAAATAAATAAAAAAGTAAATAATAATCTTGCAGGCCAGATTATATGATATTTTTGACATCATGTCACTAGATATGGAAAGTGTCCTGAGATAGCTGTTGTTATTAATTGGCACTATACAAATAGAATTTACTTTAATAAAAAGCTTTTTATTTGCACATCTATCTCCGTTTTCCGTTTTATTTCTTTCATCCTGGACGAGCCCCCAAATGTTACATCTGAATGGGGATTCGATCTAGGCGATGTAGGGAGTAAATATATTACAATATTAATAAACGCAGGATAAAAGAAACAGAAAACAACTTGTTTGTCACCTTGACAGTCTTAAATTCTTGTTTTCTGCTGTTCCAGTTTGTAATGTCCCAACAGTGTCAGCAAGTGAAGACGTCTCATTATTCAGTAAAGCAGCATTAAGACGCTCTATAACGGGGTTCCCCGACTGCCAACCCAGGGACCATATTCGGTGCTCTATAGAGCAGACCATACTCTTTATAAAATTAGATACAGAGACACAAGGAAAAAGGCAGAAACCTCAAGCAGACTGACTCCAAAATGAATTTTATTCTTTACATTTTATCAATTCAAAGTCTTGTTATTCTATTTCAGTGCTCACGTCTCTTATATGCCAAGAAGCCTCGCTGTCACTTCACTCTTTGCTAAAATGAGATCCTGATGGAAGTCAGTGCTCTGCCACAACCTTCAATCCCAACATTTGATGTCAGGTAAAACTAAACTATTTAAAGCCTTATTGAAGACCAATATTGTATCCAATGCACACAAAAAATCGACAACCCTTTGTAAAACATCAAAATATGCATGTCTCAAAGTGGAATATGAGCTTTTTTATTTTTTATTCTTGACAGGCTGACATTTTGAGTTGTTTGTGAAGGATGATGATGACATGCACCACTGCCTGTCATCATTAAAAGTTGTCTACTGGGTAATGGAAGCAGGTAATCTGAACAACACTTCTCACTGTCTAACCATGACAAGGCAATTCAGCTTCTGTATTTAAAACTGACAATCACAATCATCTTTGTTTAAAGCGCGACACAGAAACTGTTGCCGGCAAAGACATGGCAGCTCAAATGAACCGTCAAACAAGACGTCGCTCTACGAATCAGGGTTTTTGATCTGTATTTAAAATCTTTATATTCAGACATGAAGAGCTCGACATCGACGTGATTCATTTCTACCAGTGAGTCCGCAGTAATACTTATTTTAAAACTTTTGTGGGGACTTTCACAATGAAATTCACAATTTTTTGAACACTTTGGGAAATGTACTTTTCCTACTTTTACAACTCATCTTACCAATGCTGGACTACGCTGACGTCGTATACCAGGCTGCACCAAAAACACATCTTCTTCCTCTTAATATAGTTTATAACAGATTAAGCAGATTTGTTCTTAGTAGTCCTTTCACAACTCACCTCTGTGCAAAGTATGAAACTCTTCAGCTTCCCTCTCCTGGCATAAGAAGACAGCAGTTTATATTTGTTACCTTTACTATTTAAAACCATTTATGGTTCCTTTCTCCTCTACTTATCAGTTGAGACATTTTGCACAGCTCTCTTTTTCTGTTCCTGCAGTCTCTAAGTCAACAGTTAAAAAATACTTCATGTTTAAAGCTCCTCCGACTGGAATAACGTACCTGTAAATACTTATCACCTGTTTAAAAATGCCCTGTCTTCTTATTTCAGGATCAATTGTACACATTCTTAATGAAAGTTGTACAAGTCCATAATAACACCTTCATAACTTTATCATTTTGTATAAATTATAAATAATGTTCATGCTCAGCTTGATTGGGTGAGCTCAGAATAAAGACTGGAAGCAGGGTTCAAAACTGCACACCTTCTACCTCATTTGTTTCATCGGTACACAAATAGAAAGCCCATTTTTAGTTCTATGTATGTATTTGTGTTAATAGATACTTTATTTAATCCCCTTGGGGGAAACAGACAGTAGCAATGGGAGGAGCTACACGGATCTGCTGCCTCTCTGTATGACACAATATGACTGTTTGTATTGAATCGATAGTTTCGGGTTTTTTAATTAGGGTTGTATCGTCAACATATATAAAGACGTCATGACATGTTCGAGTTTAATTGAATTAGTTATTTGAAGCTAAAAAGAGTAGGTTATTGTCATGATTGACAGCTGAGCCGTGCTTGCGATTAAGTATGGGTGGGAGTTTAATATCGCCAACCCCAATCACGACTGCGTAGACTCTGGCTCCGAATGACGTCACCACCATATTATGTTTCATTTTTGTACAGTGGGAGGAAGCGGAGACACAACGTCCATCTTTTATATGTCGATGGGTTGTACGAGGAACTCATCCACGGTCAGAGTATTACTTACAGTAGACAGAGGTCAGCAGGAGCTCCGAGGTGAAGTGGAGCAATGAACCGCTGAATATTTATCCCTAAAAAAAGCCCCACCTACAGTATTGGAGTGTGATGGGCCTCCTTATCGGATTTGGGAAGTTTACTCGATTTATTTGCATTCAATATTTACATCACGTTTAATTTTTTTGAATAAATAAACTTCTGATTTCATACATTTAGTTACATTTGACTTATTACTTCATGTTTATGAGGGCCAAGAATATTGTTTCTGAGTGTGAGTCAGCCAGCAGCCTAGTTACAGAGGTTTATAGAAGAGAAAACAAATGCAATAAAAAAAAGAGTGACCTTTACTGTATGGATTTGTTTCTCTCTGCAGATGGAGACTGAACAGGCCGAGCAATTGTAGTACCAAAGAAAAAGACTGTCTTACAAGGTAAAATGCTGAAAACGTTTTTAGCGTAAACTTAAACTGATTCAGATTTTTCTTCTGTGGCTAAAATGTGTTTTTCTGCTGACCCTGTATTCAGCACTGCTTCCCTGTCAGAACTCCTGCTCACTTGTACCTCATACAACAAGACTTAAAAACACCCGAACTATCCATTTAACACCTACAGCCATCGAGCAAAGCATCCTTCTTTTGAGGTAATTGATAGAAAAAGTTCGACTGTTATTGTTTCGTGTGAGAAGGGTTTTGTTGGTTGTACACCTTTTGTTTATGCCCTGTTTTGTGTTTTGTGTGGAATACTTTTGCTGTCGGCACTACATTTTAGAGACTGACAGCCCCTCAGTGTCTTTTACGTACATCAAAACGTCACCGCAATCTCAGTAATGTTATTAACTACAGTCAAATATTCAGGTACAGATTTGATCCTGTAGGATAAAACCAAAAAGTGTGAGCAGTAAAAATTGCAGCCTAAATCTTCAGCATTTGAAAATAAGGCCATCGTAACAATCATTAGTCCATCAAACAATAAAGTTTATAATAAATAAGCTTCTGTTGAAATTTGAATAACAACACGTACACTTTTTCCAAGAAAAATACCTTTTTATTTCATTATAAATCCACATAATTGTATCTATGAAAGCATAAAATCCCCATTTCGCATTTTGTTTGTTGTTTTTTTCTCCTTATTGTGGTCGTTTGTTTCGTTATATTCAAAGTAAATCATAATGGGTATCAAACCATCGAAGACTGTAAGGTGTATGTCACATACAAACACAGACACTGTCAAACGGCAAAGGAGAGGGAGAGCGAGGGCGAGGGAGGGGACGGGACAGCGCAAGTTCTGCTGGCCATCTTTTAAAACCGTGTAATACATTTAACGATCTCGAGCGCCAGCTTTTAGTTATAGGAACACTTATGGTCAAGTTCACCATTGTTTCGTAACGGGGTGCGGTCGCTTCCCAGTGTCAAACATAACAGAATTCACCATTTTCACCATCAAATGCAGAGCCGACGTCTGTGCTTTTAGGTTTGGCTTTGAATAAAATCCTCGCTGGCGTTCCTCAAGGCTCCGTTCTCGGGACATCAAGTTTTATTTTTTTTAGTTTTTTTTGTAATACTCCGACATAGAGAGAACCAATCCACCATGGACGCAAACACACTGATTATTTCAACATTATCTAAGTCATTCAGAGCCAGAAGAGTTTAGATTGGTAATACTGGAGAGTATACGATTCAGTGGTTCATGAGAATGAGATTAAGAGAGAGAGAGAGAGAGAGAGAGAGAGAGTGCGACAGAGGGGGAAGAGAGATGAGATGAAAACATACGATTAAAGTGCCAGAGACGTTCACCGTTTAGTTTGTTATTATTGATGCTTTTGAGACAAGACGTTGACAATGTGCTCGTATTTTCAATCCAAGGCCCAACATTTATTTTCTCTCTGACTGCTAAGAGATAATAGAGAGAGGTGTGCTTCTGGAAGTCTGCATATTCTTCCCAATATTGTAATATAATGCTGTCATAATACTGTAGTAATCCTTTGGCATGTGACTGTATGCTGGGGAAAGAGAGGAAGCGGTGCCACCGACTGTCGCAAAAACATCCTGGAAAAATGTCACAAAACGGAAAAAATCCAGAGTAATCCGTTCCCAGAGCAGCATTTAGTGTCTGCATGGATCCCAAGTTAAAATCCCATCCAATCATCGGATACTTCCTTCAGAAAAGAAGAAGAGATTCCAGACCGCGTTAACTCTGATCCAAGGTTTCCCAGTTAAGCACCGAACGCGAGCAGGGTTCAATGCCCAGAAGCCTGACCTGTAATCCAACATGTCCGATCCCAGCGGTGTGGAGACTCCTGCACGCCAACAGGTTGCTGTTTGCCCTCCTCTGGCTGCCCTTCACATCCCGTCTGGGTCTGGTGGCATCAAGAGGGGTAGGGCGGAATCTCTGGGTCGAATACCTGATCATCGGGGCTCGCTGGAAGGACCATGCAACGCATTGGGGCACCTGAAGGCGACAAGAGAGGGAGACAGATTGGTTGATTGCTGTTTGTGAACTTTTTACTGGCAGTCGTAGAAGAAGACGTATTCTGAGGTCCAGTGTGTAACTTTTATGAGGATCTATTGGCAGAAATGTTTTCGGTGCCTTAGAATGAGACGTTTTTATCTACAGCGGCGAGCGTGATGGACAACTTGAAGATTTCTTGATGACTTACACAGCAGAATTTATTGAGGCTCATCCGAGGAGAACAAGTGAAGCCCAGTACAATGCCAACCCACGTCTGAAAGATACCTCCTATTGGGGGATATTTACCACAAACCCACACCTACAAGATCTACACAGAGTGGGGTCATGACTGACGCAAGTGAGTAAGTGCAAAGATCTTATTGGAGAATTAAAAGGTCTAAGCTTATCTAACTCACCCTGAATCACACAGGATCCCACCTAGAGCCTTGCACTACTTCTACAAGGACAGACGGCTAGTTTGACCCTGGGTGATAACTCTAATCCCAGAGACCCAGACTGACTCTAGCCCCAAAACAAACACTGGCTCTAGATGTTGCCTTTTGTGTTTCTCCTACACGCTTGGAAGTGTTGGAAACTGACTTGTATCAACTTCCATTTGCATCCACGAAGGAGAAACTATGAACAGCCCTATCTAGATTTCTATTTAAAAAACATACCAATGGACATTATATTTAATTTCTGACAATAGATCCTCCTCAATGTTTCACACTGGACCTTTTAATATTCCAAAAAATAGACCAAAAAGGGTACCAAGGTCCAAAACCTGAACTTGCAAGAGATTTTTTGGGGACATCAAAGAATCAAAGTAGTTATTTTCAGACAATAATTTTTACGACTTTTATTGTACAACCCTCAGTGATGGCCTTGCTCACCAGAGGTGGTGCTCAGTAAGAATTAAAGGTACTCGTGGACAATTGGCACTGATTACAAGGAAAAGTCTGGAAGCTTTAGGTGCCAAAAGTTAAAGAACTCATAATGCAGGAAAATGGCTCTCTGCAGTGTTTCGTCATTATAACTGAAGCATTAACTTGTAAGCAACATTTTAATTTGAACAATTTTAAACATAAAAGTGGACGGTTGGTATGTGAAATCTTAAAGCAGCTGTAAAAAAAGCAACAGTAAATATACTCAATTAATATTTCTCCACTGTTTTCTGTTGTTGCTTTTTGTATTAACCAAACAAACGATGGTTTCGTCTAGGAAATTCATTCTGTTGTTTAAATTTTTTGTTACATTTAATCGCTCTTTTCTCACATTTTTCCTCAGTGTGCAGATTCTTTGAGTACTTTTTGTTTGTGTGCCTACAGACGTAGGCACACATGGGACAGACGTCCCATGTTTTGGACAAAAGCAAAGCCAGCTCAGATTTCCTCTCCCAACATGTCCAAAAATCACAAAAAACAACCCACAGCAGCCTCCGGGGGTCTGTGAGGTTGTTTTTCAGCACTCATGACTCAGTGACAGCTTTGGTGTTCTGGTGAGATTTGAGACTTTAAAACATATTTCCTGCCTATACTTTGCTTTGGAAACTACCTCCTTCACACCCACAAACTCCTTTGTGCTTGAAACACAGACCGTGTATAGCATCATCAGTCTCCTTTTCTGGTACATAAAGCAGATGTTATAAAGCTGCACTGAGCTGCATACTGCTAATATATGTGCAGGAAAAGTGAAGCATTTTAACTCCTATTTGTGCCTGATTACTTCATTTAACAAAACAAAAAACTGATTACATCAACATTTTTAAGTAAGAAAAACTAATTTTTTTAGGTTAAAAACTTAGGTTAAAAACTTGTAATTTTAAGTATTTTGTACATTAGTATAGTCAGTATATTGTACATTAAAAACTTTTTACTGGGTAGTTGTTCTCATTGTATAATTAAAAATCACATCATTAAGTCATTCTCACTTAAAATAACTAAAGCTACTTGATCAAAAATGTTATTTTTTTAAACAATTTTTAACAGTTTCAGCAATTTTTTATAGTTAAATTAAAAAATTTTATTTCCTTTTATTCTGATATTTTAACTGTGTTTTGTATGATTGCTTTTACTTTGTAGCCTTGTTTACATAAGTGCTATACAAATAAAGTTATTATTATTCTTTACACAAAATCACATCATATTTAAATTAGTGTTTTAAAATTAAATCTCCATCTCACATAAATACTCCCCACTGTGCTACTAAAGTGTGTATATAAATCTGATTGTACATTATGGAGCCGTATCAGAATAATTATATATTATTCTGAAGTGTTTTATTATAATAATTCATAAATGAATACATTTAAAATCATCACAAGATGCCCTGTGGGGTTTTCTTTTATGTCATAAAATGAAAGCCAACATGAGACTGTAGAGCGGGAAACAATGAGTGAATGAGAGGGAATATAACAGGCAGTAACACAAGTTAATTGATTAATTAATCATCTAAAGACAGAATGAGGAAACACAATTATTAAATGTCAAATTTAACATTTCTTTCTCCATCATGAATGAATGATTTAAATGTTAACTCGCTTTTTAGAATTGGTCAATTATTCAATTAGAAACAAACGCTGTAAAGGTCTGTAATTAATCACATGTGAAAGATCTTTATTAAAATCAAATGTTGTGTTATGAATCTTCATGAGCTCAAAAGTTGCTACTTTAATCACCAAACGTCAAATTATAGACTGAATATTAATTAGTGGACTAGTGATGAGTGGATTAGAGGATGAGGCCGATGTGGAAGAACCTTAAACCTGTATTCGTTCTAAAGGCCAGCAGGGGGCAGTAATAGAAAATAACTCCACTTCTCAGTTGATTTATTATCTTAGTAAACAGTTTCCTGATGAGTTTATGGTCTCAGTCTCTTCTTCCATACAGCATGATGTTCATGTTCAAATTATGGAAGCACATTTCTGCCAAGGTGATGAAAGAAAAGGGATTCTTAAAATGTCTTTATAAAGACTCAGTATCTCAAAATAATGACTCAATTAAAAATAATGACTTCATATCTAAAAATAATGAGAAACTCTCTTAAAATAATGAGAAACTTTGTCAAAATAATGATTCAGCATCTAAAAATGTGACTCAACATCTAAAAATAATGACTTAGTATCTCAACTAATAAGAAACTTTCATGAAATCATGACTCGGTGATACTTAGTCAATATTTTAAAAAGTGTCTCATTAGTTTGACTTACAGAATCTTTTTTTCCCATCACATGGGTGCAAATGTGTGTTTCCTTATTAAAACAGAGTCAGTGAGTCCGTCCAGCTCATAAAAACAGTCTCAGGTTTAAAGAAATCAGGTTCTTTTTTCTTTTTCTGAATGAGAGACGATCAGGTAATGTAACGTAAAGCTGCTGATGGAGGGGAGGAGAGAGGGAAGAGGGAGGAGAGAGGGAGGAGAGAGGGAAGAGGGAGGAAAAGGGAAGAGAGAGGGAAGAGGGAGGGAGGAGAGAGGAAGGAGAGAGGAAAAAGAGAGGGAAGAGGGAGGAGAGAAGGAGGAGAGGGAAGAGGGAGGAGAGAGGGAAGAGAGAGGAGAGGGGAGTAGAGAAAGCAGAAGAGAGAAGGAGGAGAGAGGAAAGAGGGAGGAGAGAAGGAGGAGAGGGAAGAGGGAAGAGAAAGGGAAGAGGGAGGACAAGGGAAGAAGGGGGAGAGAGGGAAGAGGGAGGGCAAGGGAAGATGATTCACAGGAAAGGGAGATAAGAGAGGGAGGAAAATATGAGGCAGAGGAAGGGAAAAAGGAGGACAGTGAGCTGAAGAAAGAGGAGATATCAATAAAATATCTTGAGAAGAGAGGAATAAAAGAAAGAAAGAGGAGAAAAGTTCATTAAAAGGATTAAAGAAAGAAGGAAAGAAGAGGAAGTGATGGAGAACATAGGAGGAGGAGGAGGAGGAGGAGGAGGAGAAAGCTTACATAATGGAGCGACAGCAATCTGCATACTGTGGGGGATCAGTTATATAACGGCCCGATAAAGAGGAGTAATGTTGTTTACTAAGGCAGGCCCATATTTACTGAGCACTTAGAGGCAGACCCACTGCAGGCCTGCTAATGGCTGCTCTCTCTCTCTCTCCTTACATCCCTTCCTCCTCTTCTCTTCCTCTCTCTCCCTCAACCATGATGTGTTCGAGGCTCCTCCGGTTACTAGAGTGTGTGTGTTTCTTTGTGTGTGTTTGTGTCTCACCTCTCCCGCCTCTCCTCCCTCCAGCGCCGTGAAGCTGAATGTACGTAAATCTGAAACACACACGAGGAAAAGAAGGCGACATAAGGAAGGTGGAGTTAAAGCATGGGATGATAGATAAACAGGTATTAAATCACCTGTGGAGATCACTAATTACCATCCATAAAGGGGGGAGAAAGTGGGAGAGCTTTATAGGGACCAGCCTCTAGGGGGCCCCAACGATCCGGTTCATCCTGATTAAAATACTCAGCATTACTTATTAAAACAACAAAAAATAAAGGTTTTATTTATTGTCGCTGTGGTGAAATAAAACCTGAAAAAGGTTCATTTAACTCAAAAAATACTTTAAACTGACTGAAACTTTAGTAAAACTAACATTTTGTAAGTAAAAAAACATTTTCTTGATTGAGTAGCTTTAGCTACCCAGTAAAAAGTCATTCATCGGAAATGTAACTACGACATGCTATGGGACAGAGAGCTAACGTTATGCTAGCAACATTCAAAGTCAATAACACACAAACAGTAAATATAATTTGACATTATGTTTGATCAGCTATCAGCAAAAAAAGTCTGTAAAGTCCAAAGTGAGGTCTTCAGATGTCTCTTATTGTTCACAGACGTTTAATTTAAACTGAAAAGCAGTAAATCCTCACATTTAAACAACTAACCAATAAACAATAAAGAGCTGATGAATAAAGGATCAATCAATCATATTACTGATTGATAGACTGATAGATCTTTCTATTTCCAGACTCCTCCTCGTCCTCTCAGTGTCCGATCTCCTCCCTCTCCCTCCCCCTCATCCCTGAGTTTTCATTTTCTCTCCATCTCTCTTTATCCCTCCATCTTTTCTTGTCAATAACTGTGTCTCAGGGCTCAGTGACTCATCTCTCTCTCTCTCTGTTTGCTTGGCTGCTTCTCACCAACTAAATATAACTCTATAATCTTCTCTCTCTGTCTCTCTCACTCTCTCTCTCTCCATCAGTCTGTCCATCCTCCCACTGTGTCTGTCTGTCTTTGTCCTTTCTGATGGAGATTAAAATGGCTTTTTGTTTTATTCATTCAGAGCGTTTATGAAGCCACCGGTAACGTTACGCTGCTTAAAGGAAAAAGGCTCGAAAAGAGTGAAACTGAACAACTTTAACCCTTAAAGAAAAGTTATTTTTATTAACAATTACTCTTTTTAAACTAAAAAAAATACTCTAATTTGTTACACTTAAAATTATTAAGTTTTCTCAAATTTCATTTGTGTTTTGGTTGAAGCCTTAAATTTATTTATTTACATTCAGACAAAGTAAAAAGATTATTTATTAATTTTTTACTTTGTTTCAACTTAATTCTCTGTTTTGGCAAAACTTAAAAAAATCAATTATATCCAAGTATATTTTTTACTTTAGAATTAAAACTCAAATTTTGTTGCAGGCAATTTTTATTAACTTTTCTCAAGTAAAATTTCTGATTCCGTACAAACTTTCATTTTAAATTTTGGCTTCCTACTTATTGGGGTCTACATGATATTTTTTGTTTTTTACCACTTGGTAAAAATATACTTTATTTATTTATACGGCATTTTAGGGGAATTTATTTGGAATAAAGCAGCTATTTCATGTTAAAGACTAAACCACCGTCATATCTCGTGGCAACAACGGTATCTTCATGTGGCAAAATAGTTTCTTTTTGATGGTAAAAACTTGTATTTATACATTAAAATATGGACGAAAACTCAGTAAAATAACCTTAAAATCAACAGTACAAATATATGCTTTTACGGTAATAGTACCATATTTATTACGGTAAAGTTCTGCTCTACTGTGAAGTTACTGTAAAACCGTCTGGATCCACGTTCTTCACATATAATTTATAATCATCATGTGTTTGTTGGTTTGTTCTGTTTCATCTTTCCCCTGTTAAAGGTTTATTTAAGGAGTTCTTTGAGAGTTTAAGGACAAAATGTTTTTTTTCTGTAAGCCTTAATCTTTAACAACTATAATATATAATAATAATAATGTAAAAAAAGAGTGATTTTGGGGGGTTGTATAAATAAAATTTGACTTGACTAGAGGTTTTTTAAGGAGGTTATATGATTGTTGTCAGGGCTGCTGTACGTTTCCTAACTTATATACGTATCTCTGATGAAGACATTGTTATCATGTTCAATAAAAAAGGGATTTATTTTGTAACGCTCCCTATAAACCTTTTTGACCAGGTGCTGCTTTTACTCTGAAATCTTTACTTTCCCAGCATCCTCCACTAGCAGACCGCTGTGTGAATGTGTGAATGAATGAATGGATACATGGATACATAAGAATAAGAGCCCACGCCTCTGCAGATTGCGACCACCAGGTGTCACTGTGGCTCCGTGCAGGGCCGGTCTGAGTGGAGGCTCTGTGGCGGTCACTAACAGTTTAGCCAGTGTGCCACCCTGCTGCTCGGTGCCAGGCTTGGATAATAAAAGCACAGTGAACGAGGCCCCGATGCCTCGAGTGCGCAGTGACGCTATCTGCCTGTGTCTGCCTATATCTCTCTACCCTCCCTCCCTCCCTCCCTCCCTCTCTCTGTCTGCTGAGGTGGGATTGTGAGCTTGTGTTGAATGAATGTGTGTATTTCTGTGCATCTTTCAGCTGAATCTTTCAGCTGAATAACAGCAGAATAACTCTCAGTTCCTACACACACTCAGCTGTTAATGTCATAATGTCTGTACTGAGAGAAAAGATGACGGTTGCTCCCTTGTGATGCAGAAAGAAAAGTTTATCTCTCTGCATTAATGACGACTGTGCGGGGGGTGAATGTCTATATAACTCACTCTCATTCTATAGAGTCAGTTAGCAGCGATTCATACGCAGACTTTTCAAAATAAAGGATCAAGGACCAATCCAGTGGATAAGTGGAGAGTTTGACCTGCTGGTGGCGCTACTGTGCCTGAAAAGTCACAAGTTTCATCCTCTGGGGACCATGAAGTTTCAGTTTGGTCCAAGTGTGAACCTATCATGACTGTTTTGAAGCCTCTAGTTTGGGTTATGGTTGTCGCACGATGGAGCCAGTGGAAGGTGACGTAGCTGCCCGAGTTGAGCGCTCTCTTGGCTTGCTTTGGTTTAATAAGTAATTTGAGGGAAAATAGTCATCAAAACGATGTGGATCATATCTGTCAGCATGTTTGCCAGTTTGATATGAGTTTAGTGCTTGAGCTTGCTCACTCACTGAGAAATCGACTGTCATCACAAGGTAGCCCCGTAAAGAAATACCTGCTTTATGTCTGTTTGATCTAAAATGGGACATCAGTTACTAAATGAACATCATGCTGTATGGGAAGAGACTGAAACTAAGAGCTGAGACCAGAAAGTCATCAGGAAACTGTTTACTGAGCTCAGAATCAACTGAGAAGTCGACTCATTTCTCCGTAAGACTGAATGGTATCAGTGTGTTACTGCAGCGAGTGGAGCTGCCCCTGCTGGCTGTTACATAGAATGCAGGTTTAAAACACTTCAGCGTCGTATACAATCTTCCATCTCTAAAGCTAGTTTGGCTAAAAACAATCTTCTTATGCAGCTAAATGAAACACTGAGAGTGAACATTTTGCTACTTTGCAGGTTTGTTCTTTAATATATGTTCCTTTCTTTATTATAATGATAAAAATCACATCTCAGTCAGCGTATTGTTTCTTTCTAAATGGATGTTCTGATGTAAATTAGTCGATTATAAACATTATCTTTAGGACACAGCTGCTCACATATATCCTGATCATCAGGGTTATTTTGATCAAGATTTTAATCTTTTCTTTCCTGATGAAACTACAAAAACTATAGCAGTATAAATACTTTACATTGTGTGTGAGGCTGACCAACAAACACCAGTTCAGTTCATATGGATCAGAGAGAAAACAGGCGTGTTGAGATTGCCTCTGTGTGTGTGTGTGTGTGTGTGTGTGTGTGTGGTGGATATTAAACCCACAACAAATGGCCTGAGGGCCAGCGGGGGCCGCTGAGATTGCTTCTTTAAGAAACAAAATAAAAATAAGAAAGTGTGCTTCTGCATGCGTGTATGCATGACAAACTGTGTTTTTAGACGGGTGGTGTATTATTACAGGAAGGAAACAGAGGGACGGTGTGATGAGTAGATAAAAAAGAGGTTGTAATATTATAGAGGAATACGGATGATGGATGGACGAGTGGAGAGAGAAAACGACCTAAAAGCTAAAAAGGAGGAGAGGAATGGAAAAGAAAAAGGAGGCCGGGAGGAAGGAAAATGGCAGATAGAGGAGGAGAATGAAATAAGAGGAGAGAGAGGCAGGGAGGAAAGAGATGAAGAGAGGTTCAGTGGTGTATTAGTACTTTCACTGAGAGCAATGCTTTTAAAAATGTACTGAAGTAAAAGTAGCTTATAAAGCTAAAGCACAAACACTCAGAGCAATGTAGGATGTTTATGTGTTATATGTACGGGATAAATGTTCGTTAAACGATGATAATGGACACGTTATTCCGGCAGAGTAAAATAATTATTTTATATTTTCATGTGTTTTACGAGGAGATGTTGTTCACTGCTCCATTAAATAAGACGAACCGTAGATACGACCTGGCAGCAGGAGATATTACTAGTTCCAGTTTCCTCCAGTCCTGGTCTGACTGATACAGTAGATTATATTTTATGCTTTTATTTAGACAGTTAAAGATAAAGAGGAAAGCGGGGCCTGTAGCAACAAGCTGGAAGGTGAACGAGCAGGCGAATACAGTCCCGTTCTGATTGCAATGTGTTCGCGTTAAAATGCGATTTTCCTCATCGAGATCAAACGTCCAGACGGATTGCACGTTAATACCTCGTGGAAACGGGGTCAAAGACATCAAAGTGTCGATCCAAAAGCATTTACAAGGAGCTGAAGTAACAGATAACACGTGAACCAGGTGAATGCAGAACCTCAACCTCTTCTGCCGTGTTGCCTTTAAACCTCTTCAGAAAACCAAGAGGAACACGAGCGAAAAGGTCGTACGGAGCTTGTGCGTGTCAGGTCACACGGGACAAACGACTTTGATGATTATTTGGTAAAATGGTGAAAAGAGCTGCCCAGCCACACGGCGTCTGTCACGCTGCATCCATTGAACTACGCAGAGCCAACATTTCAATTCACACAGAGATAAAAAGAAAAGAAACAGCTCATAAATTGTGTGAAGGGGAGAAAATCCTCCAGAGCTTTGATAGATACCTCACGATGGGGTATACATCTCAATTTAAGAGTGAAATTGGTAGCAGGAATATCACAAGATAAAGAGAAAAGCTATGGCGGAGGATAACAGACAAACAAAATGACCTTGAACTGAAAGGGAAGGAAAGCATCGAGACAAAACAACTCATTAAAATCAAACAAATGACTGCTGGCGGGGGGGGGGGGACACTGTTTGCAACAGGAAGTAACGGAGGGAACGTTTTTGCCGAGGTAGAGAGGAAGTAATAAAGGCTAATATGCTGGGAACGTTTCCAGGCAGTCGGGATTTCTCTGGAGGAGAAAACTGAGACGAAGGAGTTACAGAATGTGATCGACACCCAGAACTTCTCCTCACGCTACCGACCGGGTTAGACACCTATTATAACATAATGGGTCACATAGGTTATAGTTGTCCGTCGTGTTCCAGATTCATTGTTGATATGACCTCTGACCTTTCAGTCAATGATCTTCACCTGCTGCTGTAGAGGACGCCAACGACTATCTGACTAATGAAAAGTGCGTCAACTGAGACTCGTTTTCTTGTCTCTGATGTTTGATCATTGTTCTGTTAGACTATTTACATTTACATTTACAGATGCCAACCAAATTAGTTTTCTTACACGCCTTAAAATCACAATACACCCCCTAATGAAGCGTTGGCGACCCCCGGTGCCGGGTCCCGACCAGAGTGCTCCAAGGTCATCATACACAGACGGTTATTTGACGAACTGGGAGCACAGACAGATGTTAAGTTTCTAGATATCTGCATGATAACGACTTTCTTGTTATTGTTATTGTTCTAATTATCTGAATATTCTGCAACTGTTAAGCAGCTCAATAACACACCTGTTTGTACACAAGAGGCAGCTGTCCTGCATTGATTTTTACAGTCCAAATCAACATGAAACCAGTCAGTCGTTACCAGATAAATCTGTTTACTGGACAGCAAACTACAGCCCTGTGTGTGTGTGTGTGGGCTCTTTCGCTGTGTGATTTAATGGTGAGTGCCTCTTCCAGCAGCGCTGCGTACCTGCAGCACCCAGGTGTGTGAGCACTCCTCTGTGTATGTGTGTGTGTGTGTGTGTGTGTGTGTGCGGGCCTTATCCAGGTGAGTGACTGTTCATTAAAGTGTATTTTTAATGGAAGAGTGTTCAGTTGGTGCTCAGTCATGCGGACTGAATTAACTTTGTCCGCATGGTTTACTAAAGCAGCTCAGTGCCCGTCCTCTCTGTCACTCTCTCCCTCAGCGTCGGCCTGTTTCAGATTTCAATTTCAAACAAACTTCAAATGAAACTCTCTCCTCTTCCGTTTCTCCTCCCCCTGTCTCCCTGGATGCAGGACTGTGTGCCATATTTTCTGAATTCATTTGTTATGGTAGCAACAAAAATGTCTGTGAGTCCAGACCTCTACGTCTCACCTGGCTGGCTTATAGAAAGACGTCACCTGATAAAATGTCTGCAACCTAAATACAGTGACTGCGTTTACGTGCACAAGATATTACAGGTTTTTACCCTCATTCTGAAAAAATACAATAGTCCTGCTAAGCTGTTTACATAGCAAACAACAATTAATATTCCACTAATATTCTCTTCTCTTTAATGATGTTTAAGAGCAGGTCTGTTCCTCCTCATCAGTTCTCATATAGGTGCTGAAATCAATCAGTGTTTCAGTTTTGGTTGGATTTAGGTGTTTAGAGGTGATCAGCTGGTTTCCTTCCTTTTGTTTCTTTTGTTTCTTTTGTCTATGATCTCCAACCTCTTTGTTTCCCTATTTGTCCTTCTTTTTGGGGTTTTTAATAATAAAACCTGTGGCTTTCATCCTCCTGGTTTTTGGTGTCAGCCTCTATTTATTTGTTTATTTGCTTATTTATGGAGGCAGTAACAATATCCAAGTCTTCAATAATGTTTAAAAGTAGTAGCTTTATAGACTTCTGGCTAGTAGGTTTGTTAATAAAACCCCCCACAGATCTGACCATAAACAGACGAGAGTGACTCAAACTGTGGCAAGAACCACAAATGAGACGCATATTCTGAATCAGCTGTATATGTCTAAAGAATATATCAACATATCCCTCATGTCTTAATGCTCCATTAGGAAAAATGCCTAATTAATTTAAATCTGAATGGAGTATGCTGTTTACATGAATCAAATGCATATTCAGAATAATAGTGGACAATTAGTGTGAATGTAAACATAGTCGATGATGGATTACGTTGTAGTAGCAAGAACTAATTTGGTCTAATTTAGCTAGTGACTAAATCTTCTTAAATGAACCCTAGTGGAGCTTTGGCGACCCCTAGTGGAGCTTTGGTGACCCCTCATGGAGCTTGGGACCCCCAGGTTGGGAACCAATTTGCTAGATTGTCACTACTAGTCTTTAACATCCCTGCTTGTCTCCCCCCCCTCCCTCACCCTGTACCCGCCTGACAGCAGCTACTCACCAATGACAGGAGCCGCTCCTCGGCGTAAAGTGGAGTTTTGCTCCAGGCACCAGCAACAAATCAAAAAAAGGGGGGGGAGGGAAGTGGAGTATTGGTTTGGGCTTTCGAGATTGGTGGGTTGTGGGTTTGATTGACAGTTTCTTGTGTGTTATTGGGAGATGGCGTCATCGTCGTGGGTGTGATTTAAGTCCACTACAGTCGTCCCTCGAAGAGAAGCTCCTCCCATCCCCTCTGTCGACGATGACGGTTGGGAGTTTTTATTTGCACCTCCACCTAGGAGACAACAAGATGGCGTCAGATTATTAGGAGCAGCTGACAAAGAGGAGTCACATTTGTTGTTTTCCTCCAATTACCCTGCCCTGCAGAGGAGGAGGCCGGAGGCAGAGCGAGGACGTTGGCTCCCCCTCCTCCTCCTCCGTTGGTCTGGGAGCAGACGTTGGCTTGGCGAGCGGCGGCCTTCTGCTTGTAGTGGTTACTGTGCAGCTTGTACTTCATCAGGAGGATGAAGATGAAGACGAGTACGGAGGCCACGATGATCCCCCCGATGATGATGATCATGGTGCCTCCCAGGAACTGGAGGAAAGGATCAAAAACACGCAGACAGTCAGCCCGGTGTGCAGATCCTACGATTCACTGACCAACATCATAACAACAAGAAATGTTAGCAGATTGCAACTCCCTTACTTCACCCTCAGAAGAGCCCTGTTTAAAGCCAGCGTTTGGTTTGTTCATTCTGGGCTACTGTAGAAACATTTCTGACTCAGTGAAGGTGAAACGTCTGTAGATAAAAACGTCTCATTCTAAGGTGACAAAGACACAATGATTCTTATATTCAGGTGATTAAACACTAATGAAAACATAGCT